AGTGACAGCCACTGCCCACAGCATTGTTGGTGTCTCTAGTTCCTCTTGTTCTAAGGGACACTGGAATCCATGCTCCGCTGTGGAGCCCCTTTTCATCAACTCATCTCCCATGTGAGGTAGCATTTGGGTAGGTTCTGGCCTTTGCAGGATTAAAAGAGTATGTCACTGGCTGAGCAGAGCACTCAGCGGAGAAAGCAGCCTCCACACACCATGCTATGCCTACAGGACACTGCTATGGGATCACACTGCATGAGATGCCATGAGACTGCTGCTGGTGCCTGACAACCTCCACGTGCATGAGGCACCCAGAACCAAAGTGCTCCTGTGGTGCAGGCAGGTCACTGCTCCTGGTCCGCAACAGCACTGACAGGCTGTCATTTGTGAGTGACGAGGTGAATGAAACATACTTGAAAATGGAGAGGAACTCAGTCAGTGACATGATTCATAAGAGCTCTAGAGTGACTCACCTCTTCCTACTGAAGACACACAAAACAGCCCCAAAACCTGTAGTTTCTAGGTTTCTGAGAAACTAAGATCCACAACCGACATTCTGGCTCGGTGCAATCTTACAGCAACCACTATCAAAACCATAAGCAATATCTGTGAGGAACAATTTCAAGAAAAAAAAAAAAACCAAACCTAGGGACAATGTGTTCTTTTTATGTATTATATATTTGCATAATTTGTACACTTAATATTTACTTAACAACTGGCAATTATCTGCTAACTAAAATCCAACACAGACATTTTCTATCCCTTGAGATGTTACAATCTAAGCATCATCATGAGTGGGGAAATCTAAAATTATGCTGCATAGCAATTCACTGTATGTCATTACCTATGTAGAAATTCACCACATTAGGAACATATAAAATCCTTTGAGGAACGGCATCCCTCAGTGACAGAAGGTGCTTATTACAGTGACCTTACCACTGAGACTATGCACAGCTGACAAAGATGCTGATATGCAACCACTGCATACTCTAACAACTCCTGATGGGATCCCCTCTGGATCATGCTCTTCTAAGAGAAATTGTCTAACTGTTACAGGAACTCTTTTAATAAACCTCTGCCTGAATCAACCCAAATGCAGTTCCAGAACCATTCACGTGTTACTAACACTCAGCTGACCAGCAAGCACACAAGCAGCCATGGCAGTTCCATCAACCACCTCCCCCAGAAAGTGAAGGCTGATCCAAAGCAGAATTAAGTGCCAGGGTCAGCAGCTTTCTAGCAGTAGCAATACCAGCAAATACCAGCTTAAACATTTGGGAAATCATGACTCAACTAACTGATGATACCAAAACAGATCAAAATAAAAAATAAAATAAAAACCTTCGCTACGAGGAGATGGTTACCTTCTCCTCAGACAAAAGACAGCTGAGGACTGGGTGGGACAAGGGAAAGAAACCAGCCAGTAACTCTTATGAATAGAGGGGAGACTGTAATGAATTTCAATGTTAAAATTTCAACTGGACTGTCATGAGAACTGGCATGTATTTGCACAGGTAAACATATTGTGCAACTTTCTGCCACTAATACTGACTCAACAGCAACATCAAATGCAGGGCAAAGTTTACTCAGCAGCTCCCTCTGTCCTGATAGTCTTACAGAGGTTCTCCTCAATTCCACATTCTCTTGGCACTGAGGATATGTGAGGCCAAGGCTGGAAAATGCTATGGTGCAGCTCAGTCTGCAAACTAGGATACAAACCATTTTTGTATTATAAAAGTACTGTATACGAGGAGCAAAAACAGTTGAACAATTCCAAAAGAGCAACTATTGTTCATAAGACAACTTCAGTGTGATTGAATTTCAGGAACCTTGGGTGAAATACCATTTAATATAGTTATCCACCACTTACTATAAACATCAATGAACTACTGAAGAAGAATAAGATTTTTAAATTTGTGGATAACACCAAGACACAAGCAGGGGGAAACAAATTACAGGGTGGGATTAGAGTTAAAAATTACCCAGAAAAATATTCATTTATTTAACAAAAAAAATTCCTAAGGCCCTCTCAGGATGCACATACCCTTAACAAAAGTATGAGAAGGCTGTGCTTGGAATTGTGGTCAGTCACAGAACTTTGGATGATGAAGCAAGAAGCCAGGGGCACCTATTTATAGGTTACAGATGCTTAATCTAAGAAATACTAGGAAATGAGATTTCAAGCTGCAATAGTTGCTTGAAATATTCCCAGTTCAAAGTTACTTCCTCACCACCCCTCTCTACTGTATACTCATGCCACGAGACCTCAGGGATCTATAGTATTAGGAAGCATGAAAATTGATAAGACAGGTGAGCTCACATGCCAAGCTGCTCCAGCTCACGTGATTTTGCTCACTAAGGAAACTAAATGTAGTAAAAGAGAATATAACTTTAATAATAGATTAGAGGACAACTTTCAAGACTGTTTAGAGGCAAAGTGCAGCAGCATTGGGCTGCTAGTTTTTCTCACCCATGTCATGATCTCACTGCAAGACGATCAGATTTCTGATACTCATGCAAATTACATTTTTTTCTGAGAATTTATGTACAATCTTGGTTTTAGAAGTACATGAGGCTTTTCAGATAGATCCTCCTAAGCTGCACAACAATTACAATAATTCCAATAGTGTTGACAGCAAAACAATTGTCACAGGCCTAATACAGCTGGCTACTGGCAGGTAAAACATGGAGGTTTACAATAATTATGCCTCAAGTCCTACACAGTCTCACCAAATTTTAGTGAAAACCTAGAACCAAACACATATATGACTTATATAATGACTCACGGACAAACTGATTACTGATATAACTCGAAAGACTTGCAGCCATTACACTCACATGTCAATTCCCTGACTTCACTGGAACGACAAGTTTAAAAACCAGAACCTAAGTTCTATTTGAATAACAAATACTCTTTGATCAATTTAAATATTTAAGACGAAGTTCTCTGTGTCCGCTGCAGAATCATTTTATGGACACCTAATCTTCAGGCTGCAATATAATTTGCAAGCAGACATGTATTTTGGCACAGCATCAATAAATCTTATGATTTTATTAAAAAAATTAAAAATCTGTTTCCTGCATGTTAGTATTTCCTCCCAAACCCTGAAAAACAAACATTCAGGAATTCACTTTTTAAATATTAATTTTCCAAAGTTCCGCTAAAATTTTAGGCTGTGTACATCATCCCTCCCTTCTATAAGCACTAACAGTTCTCAGTTGTAGTCAGTGGCCCAGTGTCCAAGGGACTGGAGCAGTGTGCCTCCGAGGATGCTATTGGGGTGGTGATTAGACACTGACACGGGTTTGTCAGAGAGCTGGCAGGTAATCCATCTCTGGAAACGCTCAAGGCCAGGTCTGGATGGGGCTTTAAGCAACCTGGTCTAGGGGAAGGTGCCCAGCCCAGGCAGGCTGGAAATATTTTGTCTTTAAGGCGCCTTCTAACCCAAACCACGTTAGGTAGAGCACACCTAACCTGAAGCACTCGGACTGCGCTTAGGGAGGCTGGGCAGCACCTCGTGGTTCCATGAAACAACGATTATCTATTTACTCCGATTATTATCTATTTACTCCGATTATTATCTTTTTACTCCGCACTCTCCCTGGGTGAAGTGGTCAGGGCTTTTGCAGAGCGATGGAAGCGCCGGCCCGAAACCGACAGGTGCTCCCTCCGTGCTGCAGGGATTAGATGCTATTACATGACAATAGCAAGCCATTAGCTCGCGAAGAGCCTACCTGCAGGCTTATAGCAAGTCACAAAACTTGTTTTGCCACACAAACAACTATGCAAATCAACGGTTCAAAAAGACTTCTTCATACTTAAAAGAAACCCTAAGGGAAAATATGTGCTAATGAAGATATTCATACCTCGAGAAGTTTCGAAAGATTTTAAGAAGAGAAAACAACTTGACAGTCATTAGGCAGCTATTTCTGGTGCGGGTCTGTGGTTTTGATGCTTTTTCTAAATAACTCCCCAATTAGTATTAAATAAATATTTTGTAAAAGAGAGGAGAAGTCAGCGGCAAAGAGCTACCACGGGCTCCAAGTCTGTGCGGCATAACAGGCCACATGGAATATTAAAATACCTGGTATATGCAAAAGATTTCACCCAAGTCTGGAGTTATTACGTTGTGATTTAACCTCTTTAAATGTGAGAGAATGAGAAAATAAACAAATCAGGTGAGTTACATAGCCCCTTAGTGGTTCAGCCAAACACGTGACTTAACATATGGTAGCATTTATCTAAGAGGAAAAAAAATATATAATTTCTATATGTTTTCCTACTTCAGCAATTCAGAGGCCAGTAACCAAAGGCACACAGGCTGTTTCGACAGTATCTCTCTGCAAACAACACATCTAACTTCCTTAGGAATTCAGAGCTGCCCTCTGTAACGATGCATTTTAACTAAGCAAGAGCTGAGCCCTACAACTCATGGACCAGCAGCGTCCGCGGCCCCGTCCTCCACAGAGGGAGCCAAGGGACCACCACCAGCACAGACCAGCAGCAGCACCACCGCGTTTCCACCGAGCCGACTTTGTGTCGGCAGGAAGGGGCTGCCATGCTGCCAGCGTTCCCCTCATTTCCCTGGACCGGGCCGTCCTGCCGACCAGACCGCCGCCGCCCGCTGCCGCCTCTTCCTCCCTCACGGCCCCCGCCGGCAGCTCCGGGCGCTCGCCCCCTGCCCCACGGCCGCTCCCCGCCTGGCCCTGACCCCCCTCGCCGGGCTGGGACGGCGGAGGACGGGACGCAGCCCCCGCTCAGCGCCTCGCCCGGCTCTGACCCGCGGCCCCGGCCCACCTCACCCTGCCGGGGCGGGAGGGGATGGGGGAAGGGCCGGGCGGCCCGGGGAAGGGGCTCCGCCGGGGAAAGTCAGCAGCGGAGGGGCAGGGGCGGGCAGCCGGCAGCCGGCAGCCGCCCCGCGCAGAGGAGAGCGATGCGCGCCCGGGCGGCGGGACACTGGCAGGGGTCGCCCCCGCGCAGCCCCGCGGAGAACGCGAGCACCTACCGGGGCTGTGGGGCGCGGACGGGTCGCGCAGCGTCCCCTCGGCGGCCGCGCCGCGCAGGCTGCCCCGGCCCGAGCAGGAACCGAGCGGAGCCGCCGCCGCCGCCGCCGCTGCGCAGCCGGAGGAAGGCGCGGAGGGCGCACCCGCCCCCTGCCGGTGGCGGACCGGGCCCGCTCCGCCCCGCTCCGCACCGCACCCCGCCCCGCGCCCCGCCCGCCCCGGGCCGCAGGAGGTGCGCGGGGAGCCCGGGAGCGCCCCGCAAGCAGCGCCGCGGAGACAGCGCCCCGCACACTGCACACAGCGCCCCGCACACCCCACACAGCCCCCCGCACACCGAGCGCCGAGCTCCGCACACAGCCCCCCACGCACAGCGCCCCGCACACAGCGCGCCTGACGGGCCCCACAGCCAGCCTGGGAGCGACAAGGACACCGAGATGTTTCTGCTTGTTTTCTTTAATATTTTACACACCTTTTCTTTTTTTTTTTTTTTTTTTTTTTTTTTTACTCAGACACACCAGAAGTTCTCTTCTGCTACCGAACAGAAATGGCATTTTCTGTTTTAAAATAAAGTCCAACATTTTCTTTCAAAAACACTGTGCTCAGCAGGACTGAGGCAATCTGTGTTATTGCAGAAGAAGAAAAGATAATCTCCGTCTCTTCTTTATCTTTTTTTTTTTTTGGCCCTGATTTTCCTCTAACCTCGCCATGAGTTGGGGTAGGTAGGGAGTTAGGGGTGGTTGGAGTAGGTAGGGATTAAGCAGAAGAACAGCATTTTATTTTTTGGAAGATTTCCACTGGTCTAACTCAGCTGGAGTATTGCTGGGATGGTAGGGAAAGTGCTGGGGAAGCAAAGCTCCAGCCCCTGTAAATTCCACTATTGTCAAACCAGCAAGAGAGCATTTTTACAAATCAGCATGACGCTTCTCTTGGCAGAGAACAAAGCCACAGCCGAAATGTAGGGCATATTGCACATCATCAGTGTCAGGTAGACAAAAGGAATGACTTATTTTAACGACTTCTGGACAATAGATATTTCTTTTTTTGGTTTTAAAATAGCATGCTTTGAGACTGGTCATTGGTATGAAATGGTTATTTGAACATCAGTCAAGTAATTTCTTTAGTAAATTTTCTCAACACAATGAAGTTTCAGGCATACTGTAATCTCTAAGCAAAGGAGTACCCAGTGGGAGCATTACACAAAAAAGAAGATATTTATAGCTTTTAGTTCTAAAAGATTATATAGATATATAATACTTTGGCAGTTAGTGCTTAATGTATTATCTTTAACCATGTTCTCCTGATGAATAATTAGGTGGCACTGTCTACATTAGCAGATTAATAAAGTCAGTGTGCTAACAGAGGTTAACTTCTTTGATAAGCAAATGTTTGCAATTGAAACAAACATATTAAAAAGATTACATAAGTAGCAATATCAAATTATTTAAAGATGAAATAATATTATCTGCATAATAACCAATACCTCAGAATATATCTCTATCAAAGTCAAAGAAATAAGTTTGAGAACTTATTTGAGAAGATTGAGAAGTTTAAGACTTGAGAATGGCTGCAGTTGAATTTCATTGATTATTTACTTGGCTGAAAAGGTGCCACAAGACACAGAAGGTGTGGACTCACACTTCCCTGGAAATGTGGCAGCTGACAGAACCAAAGAATAAGGGGGATGCCAGCCCTCCCAGTGTCTCAAGAAGGCACACAGTTCCTCTTTTCCTTCTTTATTTCTAATTTGTCTTCTGATTATCCCTTTTTTCATATATTGAAATTGCTATTCCCATTAAGTAGAGGTCTTCCGTAAGAAGTATAAATATCTATACCTACAGGAGTTCGCTTTTTACTATTGTCTGTGATGAACTGACCATTTTTCCTTCTGTAGATTAAGTTTGTCATGAAACAGAATGTGTTTCATAGCCACACATATTCTAAATGTTTCACCATGACCTAATATGTTCTAAATTTACAATTTTTAATTCAAAAACGTTTATATTTATTTAAAGATAAATCAGCAAAATAACTTGGTTTCATAATTACACTGTCTAGGAAAAACATATACTGTACCTATTTATTTTGCAAACATCAGAAACCAAAGTACCTTAAGAATTTGGGTGCCCTGGGCCTGAACAGAGATGATCTTGTTGACCTTATTTACATATGTGACAAATTTCTTTGCTAGTGTCTCTAGCATATGACCTGAACTTTCCTGTCTCTCTCATAACTACATCTTTTTACTAAGTGAAACCATGGCATTGTACTATGATTTTAGGCTTTATTGAAAATGAAAACATTTCTTTTATGTAGTTACAGGAAAACTAGATGTACTGCAAGCCTCATTTAGCATCTTAGGGATAACTGAGATAAATTAAAATAACGTAAAATACAGAAGCAAATCCTTTCAGGTTCTTTACCTTTGTTCTGTTAATTATTGCCTCTGGCAAGAGATGTTCTTCTAATTAGTCATCAGTCTTGATTCTCAGTTCTGGTATCAAAGCAATTTCTGGTGACTTTTAAAAGTACTGTTTCCCTGTAAGCCTAAACTTCATGTTCATATGCTATAAACTAACACTTCTGCCCTAGCAAATCTTTCCATGGCACTTTGAATGAGCCAGACTCAGATTATGGGCAGATACCCAGCTCTCCAAAATTTGGAATATCTGTGGCATAAAAGTTACTTTTCTCAGCACAGTAGCACAGTCATAGGAAACGCTTTGCATTTGAAAGCACCAGTATTACAGTGCTGTAATAAGTAAGATGCACCCTAAGCCCTCTTTTAAATATTATAGAGAGGAAAGAAAAAAAAAAAAAGAGCAGTTCCTTAGAGAATGCTACAGGCAATTTGCCTTGAAGAAATTGGAAGATATGATTTTCACCAAGTTGTGAGTCTTTTACATAATTAGAAACTAAAATGTATAAGTACAACATGAAGCTCACTCCTTTCTTCTCTCCTACCACTTCCAAACAGGTGAGAACATGTATGAAAAGGTCTTCCTTAACATGACATTCTGTTGGCTTTCTGACTGGTGTTATCAAGTTTTGTATAAATGGTATGGGTGTGTGTCTGAAAGAGAATGTATTCTTTAGTGTTTGTTCAGTGATATGGTAGAATTTAAAATATATACATTCAGCATATATTTTTGTGACTCCACCCTGTTGTTATCAAAAGTTAATTTTCAAGCAGCCAAAATAGCAAGTCTGATATGAGATGTCTGGGTAACAGTGAGTATGGAACTTAAATCAGTGCTCCACTTTTAGTAGAGAAGCGTCTGAGGAACACTTCCAACTGAGATTGTACTCATGGAGATCAGGAACAAGCATCACCAGCTGGAAATTGTAGATGTCCTGAGAAAGACAGACTACAGATTTTATTGTTCATGAGCTGCATTGTAAAAGGTCATGAGCACCACTCTGAACATCTTGTGACAGCATGAGAATTCTTCGACACAATAACCCTCCTCCAAATGTAACTCTTTGTCATAGAAAACATATGGAGTTTTCTTCCAAGTTTATTATTGTTTCATTTCAGCAAGATATTTTTCATGATCCACAGTCCCTCAACCAGATCCTATATCTCCCATGGCAGAGCTCCATGCATCACTGCTGCTCTCTCAAAAAAGTCAGTTCCTCCCCTCCCTCTCAGCCCTCACTAAACTGCCTATATCCTGTCTCCATCAGCTGCACCACCCTCATGTGTGAACTCTGCCATGACATCACAGTGATCCCAATGAGATGTTGTAGTTCTGAAACTGCATGCAGATTTCTAACCCCCCTTGAGGATTCTCTATGCTGTATGCATTCATGTACAAGCATGTCAGACAAGGCACCAGGTTGAGCTGATGTCCCAGGAAAATATGAGAGCTTTTTCCATAATGCCATACCACTGGCACTCTCTTGTTGCTGTGTATTCTTTGCTTGAGCTGACCTCTTTCACTCTGTTCTGTTTATTACACCACATCCCACACCCACTTCCCTACTTGACTGTAGGCCACCATCTCTCTCCCTGTTGTTTTGTCATTCCTAATTTACAGCTCTCCTTACCACGCTTGTCAGTCACATGGCAGAGCTGCTTTAGCTCCCCTCTGTCAGAAACACCCAGTTTGTTCCTGGCTGTTGCTGACCTTATAACCGTGAAAACCAGATCCCTGTTATTAATGCCAGCTGCATGATTCCAGTTGATGATCTGCAGTGTCTGTCCACTCCTCCCCAAGACCTGTTCTTCCTTTCTCTGGCAGGATCAACCAGAAAAGCACCTGGCCCACCATGTCCTTGACCCTTACTACCAGAGCCATAGAGCTATGCCTAATATGTTCACAGCTTCCCATGGCCAATATTATTGCTGCCCATGCGGAAGAGTAGCACAGGATAATAGTCTAAGGCTCCACAAGTCTATCTTCAGTATCTGAGATACTGGAAGAAGAAGAAAATGCCCTAGGAAGAAGAAAATGCCTTTTGCCAGCAGGTGAGGTCAGCCCACGGGCACCTTCTCGCCCATAGCAGGGAGAAATGCCCTGCCCCTGCTCTCACTTGCAGATTCCACCCAGTGTTGCTACAGGTTCAGGCTTAGCTGGTGCAACTGGTTTCCTGGACCAAGCTCCTGGAGCCTGCTGCCAAGGCACTCAGTATTTTGTAGGTGCAGATCTACAGAGAGGAGTGGGAGCCTTCCTCCTGTTGCCAGAACCCACGAGATTCCAGCCTTCTTTCCCCCCACCTGTGTGAGGAATGTGCTCTGTTTTTGCAACACATCACAAATGAGAGAGGAATTGATGGACAGTCTCTCCACATCCACCCACACCTTAGTGCTTAATCAAGATAACCACTCCCTCTGTCTTCCAACATACAAACCATTGCCAGTAGTTACCATATCTGTGTTTTTCTAGTGGGAAGGAAAGAATTTCATCCTCTGAGAAAACTCTCAGGGTGATGGGGCAGAAAGACAGGGCAGCTCAGCAAATATCTGCATGTACTCAGTTAGGCCCTTAGGTGCTACTATAATAAAAAAAATTCCTGTGTATCCAGAAATAGAAAGCAGCCTGTATAATGAAGGATTCTGCCAGCTCACACATTTTTCACCAGGATGGAATGACCAGAAC